GGATGGGCAGCCACAGCTGGGTAACAGGTAACAGTTGGTATGTCTGACTCCATTTCCCTTCCCAGCTAGGCAGCAGATGAGTGTGAACACTGCACCAAAACCAGCTCCACATGGAGCACTTCACCCAGCTGTGAACACTCACCAGAACACTTTTGCCATGGACCAAGGGAGCCCTCAGGACTTGTCTTGCTCATTTCTCCCTGGAAAGAGACATAGCACAAGTACCTTTGCAGCTATTGGAGAAATGCTAGAAAGGACAGGAAATCAGGGTTATTTGAAGAGTTTTGTGCTGTCACACAACCATTCACCTGTGTTGTTCTATGGTAGGGGGCTGGTCATGGAGCTCTGCCCTATAGGTGTTCCAAGGGCTGGTGTTTAAAGCAGCATTAGCACAAAAGGAGTTGCATTGGCATAGGAATTTCCTTGCTAGTATTTCCATCTCAGGAAGGACTTCCACATGACACATAGATCAGGTCAGTTATTTTGAGCTCGGTGCTGAGAACACCAAAGGCTGTGGGTTCAGTCACTGGATGGGCCATTCACTTAAGAGTTTAACTTCATGATCCTTACAGATCCCTTCTATTTCAGGATATCCTGTGATCTGGAAATACAGAAATACAGATTAAATATTTCAACTACAATTTTACAAGTGGAGATTTTGCCATTGGAGTGTATGAGTTGCACAGATCTCAGGGAAAGACGAAAGAAATGATCAGGTCTTACTCGGCAGGTGTTGAATGAGCAGCTGGAGCAGGACAGCGTCAGTCCTGGAGTAGCTCCTCATGCCCGCGGCTCCTCAGCTCCGCTCATTTCCCAGCGATGCGGTGTGCGCAGGATGGGAGGGGGGCCCCGCTCTGCCCAGGGGTTGCCGGGGCAGAGGGGGCTCGGCATCCCCGCGGGGGCTGCGGGACCAGAAGCCTCTGAGGGGTCCCGGGGCCGGCCCGGGCGGTCCCCGCGCCCCGCCCGCTTCCAGCCGCGATCCAGCGCCTGCTCCGGGAAAGCGCCGCCTCCTGCCGGGCCCGGCCCCGGCACAGCCCCGGCTCCCCGCGGCCGCGGCGGGACCTGCCCGGAGCCCCGGCGGGAGCGCAGCCCCGCCCCGACCGCGGTCCGAGCGGGAGCGGAAGCGCCGGGCTCGGTCCGCGCCCGTCCCGGAGCGGCTCCGCCTCCCCGCGGCGATTCCTGTCCCGATCCCTGCCCCAATCCCGCCTCGGTCTTGCGGCTCCAGGACCCACCGCCCACTCGCCCCGGGACCCCCAGCAGACACCGGCAGGACCCGGACCCGAATTCCCCGGCCCGGGTCCCGTTCCCGGCCCCACCTTAGCGCCGCGAGCTCCGCACAGCACCGGCAGCAGCCCCGGCCCAGGGCCCGCACAGCGCTCCGAGCGCCGGTCCCGCCGCATCCCGGGATGAGCATCCCCCGTCCAAAGCGGAGCGGGCGCGGATCCGCCGGGATTTACGGGCGGGGCGGGGCGGGCTCAGGTGTGAAGGGCGGGGCGGGCTCAGGTGTGAAGGGCGGGCCCGGCTCAGGTGTGAGGGGCGGGCCCGGCTCAGGTGTGAAGGGCGGGCCCGGCTCAGGTGTGAAGGGCGGGCCCGGCTCAGGTGCGCGGCCCCAGAGCGGCTGCGCGGGGCGGGGCTGAGGGGATTTAAGCCCCGGGAATCGCCTCAGGAGCCATTTGCCCCTCAGCGATCGGTGGGGGAGGTTGCGGCCGGGTCGGGCTCTTTATTTCTCTTCCTTTTTATCTCTTCTCTGCTTCTCTTTCTCTATACCTCTACCCCCTCCCTTTCTCCCCTCCCCCACCCCCTACACTCTCCCCCCTCCTACCCCCCCCCTCCCTCTCCCCCCTAGCCCTCCCCTCCTTCCCCCCCCGGCCCGGCGCGGTCCCCCCCTACTCCCCCTCTTCCTCTCCCCCTACACACCCCAACCCTGCCATACCCCTCCACCTTTCTCCTCGTCCTTCCACGTTTCTTCCCCCACCCGGCTCCCACCTGGCCCCTCTCCCTGCTCCCTTTCCCCCCAATAGTTTTTCCCTACCTGCCTTCAATCCTCTCTCTACTTCCTCTGCCCTTCCTTCCCCACCCCAGAGTCCAGCTCCCCCTGCCCCCTTTCCGTGCTGCCTTCTCCCCCACCTTCCCCTCAATCTGCCTTCATTCCTCCTACTCCATCCTCTACCCTTCCTTCCTTCCCAGCCCACCTCCCCCTGTCCCCTCTCGATACTGCCCGGTACACCCCGACCCCCCCACCTGCCCTCCGTCCTTGACTCCCGCTGTCCATCCCCTCTGCCCCCCTATTCCCGTCCTCCATCCTCTCCTTCTTTCCCCCGCAGCCGCGGGGCTCGGGGCGCCGCAGAATAAAGCCCAGAGGGCCGGAGCGGCGCCCCCCGCTGTCCCCGGAGCCCCACACGGGGCCGGGCCCGCTCGGCGGGTCCCCCCACACCGTTCCAATGCACCGCCCGACACCGCCGGGGCTCCGGCTTTCCCTACATCACACTGGGGGTCCCCGCGGGAGGGGGTTTGGGGGGCTGGGGGTCAGGGGGGGCCCCCTCGGGGAGGGGGTTTGGGGGGTTGGGGGTCGGGGGGGGGGGCGGTGGGTTGGGGTGGGCAGGGCCCCCTCCGGAGGAGGGGGTCCCGGGGAGGGGGTCGGGGTGGGCCCCCTCCGGAGGGGGGCCCGGGGGAGGGGGGTGGGGCGGAGGGGGGACTTCCCCCCCTCCAGTCCCCGCCCCCTCCCCCGGACCCCTCCTCCGGACGGGGCTCACCCGGGCCCCCTCCCCGGGACCCCCTCCCCCGGACCGGGGCCCGGGGGGAGGGAGGGGGGCGGGTGGGGTGGGGGGGAGAAGGGGAGGGGCCGTTTGTTTGTGCGGGGATCTGTGTGTGCTCACGCTGCAGAGTGACGTGACCCCCTCTGCTTCCCCCCCCCCCCCCCCCCCCCCCCCCCCCGGGCCCCGGTCCGGGGGAGGGGGTCCCGGGGAGGGGGCCCGGGTGAGCCCCGTCCGGAGGAGGGGTCCGGGGGAGGGGTCGGGACTGGAGGGGGGAAGTCCCCCCTCCGCCCCCCCCCCCCCCCCCGCGCCCCCCCTCCGGAGGGGGCCCACCCCGACCCCCTCCCCGGGACCCCCTCCTCCGGAGGGGGCCCTGCCCACCCCAACCCGCCCCCCACCCCAGGACCCCTCCCTCCCTAAACCTCCCCACCTCCAGGACCCCCTCCGGAGGAGGGGGCCCATCCCACCCGAACCCACACTGGGACCCCCTCGTCGGGAGGGGTTCCCCCCTGACCCCCAGCCCCGACGCCGCCGGGGAGCCCCCACTGCGATGGGGGCAAAGCCGGAGCCCCGGCGGCGTCCGGCGGCTCTTGAGAACCGCCCCGGGGGACCCGCCGAGCGGGCCCGGCCCCGGTGGGGCTCCGGGGACAGCGGGGGGCGCCGGGCTCCGGCCCTCTGGGCTTTATTCTGCGGCGCCCCCAGCCCCGCGGCTGCGGGGGAAAGAGGGATGGGGGGACAGAGGAGGGGTCAGGGAGGGATTGGGAGGGTACGGAGAGGGGTTGGGGGGTTTGGGGGAGAAGGAGGAGGAAAGGGAAAGGCCGGGTGGGGAGAGGGATGATGGACAGAGGAGGGGTACAGGGGCAAGAGAGGGGAGGCGGGCTGGGGAGGGGGTAGGAGAGAGCCGAAAGGACGAGGGGGGGTCCGGGAGGTGCAGGGGAACAGGGAGAGAGGGCAGGGGAGGCTGGGGAGAGGAGAGAGGGCGGAGGGGGGCTGGGAGGGAGAGGGGGAATGGGGGAACAAAGAAGCTGGAGGGGTAGAAAAGAGGGGATAAGGTGGGGGAGAAGGAGGAGGATAAGGGCAGGAGAAAGAGGGAGAAGAAAGAGGACGAGACGAGGCTCTCCTGAGCCACGCCGGGAGAGCACGGCCGCACAGAAGCCACTCCAGCCTCTGAGAGAGCAAATGGCGGCGGTGCCGCTTTCCGGGCCTTAAATCACCTCGGCCCCGCCCCGCGCAGCCGCACTGGGGCCCCGCGCACCTGAACCGGGACCGGCCCAGAGCCCCGGGACCGCCCCAGAGCCCCGGGACCGCCCCAGAGCCCCGGGACCGCCCCAGAGCCCCGGGCCCGCCCCAGAGCCCCGGGACCGCCCCGGGACCGCCCCAGAGCCCCGGGCCCGCCCCAGAGCCCCGGGACCGCCCCAGAGCCCCGGGACCGCCCCAGAGCCCCGGGCCCGCCCCAGAGCCCCGGGCCCGCCCCAGAGCCCCGGGACCGCCCCAGAGCCCCGGGACCGCCCCAGAGCCCCGGGCCCGCCCCAGAGCCCCGGGACCGCCCCAGAGCCCCGGGACCGCCCCAGAGCCCCGGGCCCGCCCCGGAGCCCCGGGACCGCCCCGGAGCCCCGGGCCCGCCCCGGAGCCCCGGGACCGCCCCGGGACCGCCTCAGAGCCCCGGGCCCGCCCCGGAGCCCCGGGACCGCCCCGGGACCGCCTCAGAGCCCCGGGACCGCCTCAGAGCCCCGGGACCGCCTCAGAACCCCGGGACCGCCCCGGGACCGCCCCAGAGCCCCGGGCCCCGCGCACCTGAACCGGGACCGCCCCAGAGCTCCGGCCCCGCCCTGCCCGGGCTGGCGGCGGGACCATCGCTCCCGGACCCGCCCCTCTCACCTGGGCCGGGCCTCTGGGCTTTCCGTCAGCCCAACAAAACGCTGCACTTCGGCTTTTCTTGCCGAGCCCAAACTCTCCGCACTTGTTCTTCTTCAGACACAGCGTTTAGTCCCTGTTCCTGAGCCCCAGGTCTGGCCCTAGGAGCCGGCTCCAAAATGTTCACTTTAGTCTCTGCTTTTGAGCTCGGAGCCCGATTTAGCACCCCCAAACGCAGCACTGGGTGTCTCTTTGTGAGCCCAAAACTGCTCCAGTCCATTGAGTTCAGAGCCCCCACAAGTGCCCCGGGCCATGGGCGGACCCAGCTGGGCACCAGCAGCAGCTCCCTCACCCCCTCCCCTTGTGGGATGGGCAAGAGACCAGAGACAAAAATCCAGCTCACAACACTTTAATAACGGAAACCAGTCAAATACAATCATTTAATATTAATGACAACACATAATGACAGTGAGAGCAACAAGAACACTGAGAACAACAACGAACAGGAGAAAGAGAAATAAACCCTACACCTCCCCCCCTTTAATATTGTAAATCCAAAATGTAATCCAGAGCACCACAAACTCCCTGTGCAGGGGATTTCCACATTCCTGTTATTTTCTCTGTGGTCCATCCTGGGGATTTGTGGACTAAGGAAGGCACTTGCTGCTCCTCTGGGCAAGGGAAAGGTTCCTGTGCTATTCCCAAAGCAAGAACACCTGGAATTAGTGCCCTGGGAGCCCAGTCTGGTCCTTCCAGTCACTGGGTGTCACCCAGAGGTTCTTTACCTGCATAAAGTGAAAATGACATCCTGGTCCAGTGCATTTCCAGCAGGACTGGACACTCCTGGCCACAGAGACCAGTCCATGGACGTTGGACTGGTGACAATCCAGGGGGATTTTAAATTGGATTCCTGCAGATTTCATTGTGCAGAAGCTCCAGTTCTTTTTGGCACCTCATGTTTAAATGTTTCCCTGCTGGGAGAGGTCAGCTAGTCTTCCTAATGGCCAGATTGCCAGAGGCAGGGAAAACCAACCAGCATTCCCTGCACATCTCCATCATTTCCATGTCCTTCCAGGGGTCCAAGGACAGGAGCCAGCCCAGGACAGGCTCAGAGATGAGGCTTCCATCCCAAACCATGCCATGATGATTCCACAATCTCTCCCTGCATTAATTTTCCATTGTTTCCTCTCAAATTTATATGATTTATTAAAGGAATCACTTTAAAATTATTCCAGTAATAAAATAGGGAGCATCAAACATACAAGAATCATTCCCATGTCCATCAAATTGTTATTAATTGGAAACCTATTCCCTCATCTCTGTCCTTGTTTTGCTTTCCTGGAAATCCTTAGGACCCCACAGTTTCTCAGAGACATCAGCTGGGATCACGGGAAGGTTTGCTCTGTCAGAAATCCAGGGGGATTTAGAACACTTGTTCCTCTGCATCTCTGTCCCTTACCCAGGTTTCCCCTAGAATGGTGCTGTAGGAAAAGTTTGGAATTACTAGAAACAGATCAGCTTCACATTTTTTCCCCTCTGCTTCTCACCTGTTTCAAAATTCCCGGCATTACCCCCACACATGCCCTAGAACACTGCTGTGCAAACCCCCATCAGAGGAACATCCTGAAAAGGGAAAACCGCCTCCAGCAGCAGCTGGAATGATCCCATTTCTGTTCTTACCTGGTCTGCAGCTGCTCCTGCCAGAGCTCCCCACAGCCACTGCCATTCCTGAACAGGAGCTATGGAAGACACTCCTGCAGTCCATGAGGGTGAGGAGGCAGTTTGGGAAGTTCTTTGCTGTGCAATCAGAGCAGAGAGTGTTAATGATCCTGTGCTCCCTTCCAAGCCAAAGCAGCCCGTGATTCCATGGCATGAGCAGCACCTCTCCCGGCTCCATTCCAGAAACATCCTCCCACTAACCCAGGACTTTTCTTTTTCTGCATCGCACCAGGGATGTGCTGCCGAGTGCCCCAGGCAGGGGACGCCTCAGCATTCCCGGGATGTCTCAGCATTCCCCGCGATACGCCAATATTCCCGGGATCTCTCAGCATTCCCGGGACGCCCCAGCATTCCCGGGATGTCTCAGCATTCCCGGGATCTCTCAGCATTCCCGGGATCTCTCAGCATTCCCGGGACGCCCCAGCATTCCCGGGATCTCTCAGCATTCCCGGGACGTCCCAGCATTCCCGGGATCTCTCAGCATTCCCGGGACGTCCCAGCATTCTCGGGATCTCTCAGCATTCCCGGGACGCCCCAGCATTCCCGGGATCTCTCAGCATTCCCGGGACGCCCCAGCATTCCCGGGATCTCTCAGCATTCCCGGGATCTCTCAGCATTCCCGGGACGCCGCTCCACGCCGGCCCCGCGCCGTGCCGGGCTGCAGTGCCGGGCGCTCCCCACGGGGCGGCAGCACCGGCCGGTCCCGCTGTCCCGGGCCGCTCCCGCTGTCCCGGGCCGGTCCCGCTGTCCCGGGTCGGTCCCGGCCGCTCCCGCTGTCCCGGGCCGCTCCCGCTGTCCCGGGCCGGTCCCGGCCGCTCCCGCTGTCCCGGGTCGGTCCCGGCCGCTCCCGCTGTCCCGGGCCGGTCCCGCTGTCCCGGGTCGGTCCCGGCCGCTCCCGCTGTCCCGGGCCGGTCCCGGCCGCTCCCGCTGTCCCGGGCCGGTCCCGATCGCTCCCGCTGTCCCGGGCCGGTCCGGCTTTAACCCGCCCGGACCCGGCGGGGCCGCGGACACCGCGGGCAAAGCCCCGCTGATGCCCCGGATTTCACCCGCCACGGCACAGGATCGCAGCAGTTCCGAGCCGGAACGGCCCCACGGGCAGCATCGAGTCCAAATCCCGGCCCCGCACAGGACCCCAGGAATTCTCCCCTGTGCCCGGGAGCCTCGTCCAGACCCCGGCTCTTCCCCCAGGATCCTGAAAACACAGCGGGGCTGGGAGAAGGATGACGACGGGCTTTTAAAATACACATCTCGTTATACGGTCGTTCTATAGATCCGTTCTGTATCCTTATCGGTAATCCTACAATCAACATGTCCCTTATATCCCGCTACACATCCTTACACGTCGCCTTCACTGCGGTGACTCCAGTGACCGACGGGAGCCCCGCCTGACCGCCCCTGCCATTCCCGCACAGCCCGGGTTTCCTTCCCGGCTCCAGCCCTGCATTCCCGCGGCAGCCTCAGGTGTCTCGTTCCATAAAGCAAATTAATCACAGCAACACGGAGCCAGCCCGAGCCGGTCCCTCCGGAGAGCACCGACCGCCTCATCCTTACCCCAAGCTGTGCATTCTCTCCCCTGCACATTAATTCAGATTATGTCCCAAAATGTTCATTTTGGCCCCTCCGGAATCCGCCCCAGAGCGACGCCCCGGGCCCCGCTCGGCCGAGGCGGCTCCGGTGTCCCCTGTCCGCAGCTCCCGCTGCTGCCGCCTTCCCGCTCCGTGTCCCGGGAGGGGACAGAGATCTCTGTGTCCCGGGACAGCGATCCCCGTGCCGGTACAGCCATCCCTGTGCCGGGACAGCCATCCCTGTGCCGGGACACCGATCCCTGTGCCGGGACACCGATCCCTGTGCCGGGACACCCATCCCTGTGCCGGTACACCGATCCCTGTGCCGGGACAGCGATCCCTGTACCGGGACACCGATCCCTGTGCCGGGACACCCATCCCTGTGCCGGGACAGCGATCCCTGTGCCGGGACAGCGATCCCCGTGCTGAGGCAGCGACCCGCGAGGCCCCCGTTCCCCGCTCGGGTCTCTCTCCGTTCCCCGCTCACCTTCGAGCCCGGTGCCGCCGCTCCCGGTGCCCCCGGTCCGGCCCCGCTGCTCCCCGGGCACCGCCACGGCGCTGCTGAGTTTGGTCCCAGAAAAAAACTCTGGTATTATTTTTGAGCTCGGACTCGCAGGACTTGGCCCGATCCCCTCAGGGAACCCCCAGTGTGATGTAGGGAAAGCCGGAGCCCCGGCGGTGTCGGGCGGTGCATTGGAACGGTGTGGGGGGACCCGCCGAGCGGGCCCGGCCCCGGTGGGGCTCCGGGGACAGCGGGGGGCGCCGCTCCGGCCCTCTGGGCTTTATTCTCCGGCGCCCCGAGCCCCGCGGCTGCGGGGGAAAGAGGGAGAGTGGGATAGGGGGGAATGAGGAGGTGAGGGAGAAGGTGGGGCAGCAGAAAGGGAATAAGGGCAGGAGGAAGGATAATTAGAGGGAGGTACAGGATGAGACCCCGAGGCTCCGGAGGACCCAGCCCGGCCGCTGCCAGCCGCACCGAGCGCTGAACGAGCAAAAGAAGCGGGGCTGGTTCCCGGGGGTTTAAATCCCCTCGGCCCCGCCCCGCCCCGTTTGGGGCCGCTCGGCCCATCTCGGGATACGCGGAGAGCATCGCATTGTCCGGGTTCGGCATCACCTGCCCGTGCCTGCAGGAGATGGGAATGGATGCCCCTCTCCCTGCAAGCTCTCGCACTGACCCAGCGTGTTTTCCACCTCCTTGGTCCCAGACAGGGAAACGCTGGCTGCTCCTGTGGGCAAGGGAAAAGCTACTGTGCTATACCCAAAACAAGAACAACTGGAATTAGTGCCCTGGGAGCCCAGTCTGGTCCTTCCAGTCACTGGAGGTCTTTACGTGTAGAAAGTGAAAATAACATCCTGGTCCAGTGCATTTCCAGCAGTACTGGACACTCCTGGCCACAGAGACCAGTCCATGGAAGTTGGACTGCTGACAATCCAGGAGGATTTTAAGTTGGATTCCTGCAGATTTCATTGTGCAGAAGCTCCAGTTCTTTTTGGCACCTCTTGCTTAAATGTTTCCCTGCTGGGAGAGGTCAATTAGTCTTCCTAATGGCCAGATTGCCAGAGGCAGGGAAAACCAATCAGCATTCCCTGCACATCTCCATCATTTCCATGTCCACCTGCAACGAGTGGTCGAAGGACAGGAGCCAGCCCAGGACAGGCTCAGAGATGAAGCTTCCAAGTCAAACGATTCCATGATGATTCTACAATATCTCCCTGCACTAATTTTGCATTGTTTCCTCTCAAATTTAGATGATTTATTAAAGGAAAAAAAAAATCTAAAATTATTCCAGGAATAAAAAGGGAGTTGTAAAACATACAAGAATCATTCCCATGTCCATCAAATCATTATGAATTGGAAGTCCATTCCCTTAACTCTGTCCTTGTTTCGCTTTCCTGGAAGTCCTGAGGATCCTACAGTTTCTAGGTGTATTTCCCTCCCCATAAAGGAATGGAAGAATCCTGATGCATTGGGGAAAGGATTTTTGTTATTTCAAGGAATGACAAGCAGAGAAATGGCCTTAGACACTAGGGATGAGCACCGTCACCCTTCCCTCTCTCCAAATCCCACGCAGATGGGGCTGGGAATGCCGGAAGGAGCCGGGTGTGCCTCTAATTGCAGAGCGTGCCTTTAATCCCGGGCTAAGCCAGCTCAGCCTCTGAGCCTGTCCCAGCGCAGGGACAGGCCAGGACAGGTCTGTGCACATCCCAGCACCCAGGTGCATCAGTCCCCGGCCTGTTCCACACCCTCCAGGCCGGTGGCTGGCCATTCCAGACCCCTGATCCCTTTGCAGTGGGATCTCTCCCTCCTCTCCCATGCCCACAATTTGCCCGCAGTGCCAGGGTCCTGTGGCTAACTGGAGGCAAATGTGGCAGCCACGTCTGGCTGAGCAGCTCCCTGCAGGTGGCGGAGAGATGTGACCTACTTGTCACTGGAATCATGTTGCCGGCTCGGAGCCCTGAGCTCTTCCGACAGCTGGAGCCCGCTGACCCCGGCCGTGTCCTGGGAGGGAGCAGAGCCAGGGAAGCTGAAGCTAGCTGGGAGCACTCCCGGGACAGGAGGAGGGTGTGTCCTCTCCACTTGGCCCTGGTGATATTCCCTTGGGAGTTTTTACCTTCCAGAGCTGGGCTTTTGTTTGCCTGTGCACCTGGGAGTCACTGCCCGGTCCCGGTGCAGCCCTGGTGCGTAGCTTGTTGGCTGGGCTTTCTCGGAGTCCCAGCACATCCCTCTGGCCGCCCTGGCTGTCTTGAGACCCTGGCAGGGGTCTCAGAGACCTTGGCAAGAAGTCAAAACCAGCTATGGCTTCAATTTTAGCCTGTGGGAAAAACTGCCAGCTTTGTATGAATAATTACAAGCCACAAGGGTTTGAGTAGTGTGATACTTGAATTAACATAGGGTGGAAAAGTAGAAATTTGGGGTTTTTAGAATATATTTCAGGGGGTCAAGATGGAAGGATTTGGGCATGTCCTAGCCTTCTTTTCCTTCTTCTTGTCCTCCATGTCTTGGTGTGATGGTAACACTTCTCTCCTGGTTTAAGGTAGAGATTCACAGTCTAACAGATGATAGGTATTGTCAAAGAAATTGTAAACATATTACACGTAGTTTTGAGTATGCAAGGTGAGAGCCACCCGAGGCTTGAAGCAGAATGCTATGGTGGACTTGCTGGGCAGAGCTCAGTAGGTTGGAGAAATATTATAGATAAGAAGAAATAAACAACCTTGAAAACACAATCAGATGCATTCAATTCTTTGTCTCCTTCTTTGGCTGCAGAGGCTGGGAAAAGAACTTTTACACTGTTGGGGTCCAACCCTGACAGGCTTCATGTGGGTGCGAGGGCCTAGGATGGAGAGAGGGACACGAGAAACCTTCTGCCCGAGTTAAGCATGGAGAGAGGATCAGCAGGTGAAATCCTGTGCCTGGAACAGCAGGAATAGGGACAGCACTGAGCTGACTCCAGCTCTGGGTTGTGTGGCTCCTTTTTCCTTGCTCTGCTGTGATTTTTCATCACTATCACAAGATACCTTTTTTCAGCCCTTCTTTTTCTTGAGCAAGTAACACCAAGTGCAATATTCTGTGGAATGAATGGATCCCCCATGCTCCAGCCCTATCCTTTGGAGAGGCAGATCCAGCTCTGGAGCCCTCTCCTATGCCACAAGCAGTGTGACAGCAGCCTGCTGCCCCATTCCTCGGGGGAGTCTCCTGCCTCCTCCCTGTTCCCCCGGCTGTGCCTGTGGCAGGTGCAGGAAGCAGTGTCTGCCTGCCTGGGCAGCATTTGGCGAGGGCAAAGGGCCTGTGAGTGGTGCTGCTGCATTAGCCAGGGCCTGCCTGCTGTGCAAAGCTTTATTAGAGAGCAAAAAGGGCTTTATTTCAGGCTGGAAGTCATCGAGCCTGTTCAGGCAGATGTTTATTTCCTCTGCTCCCTGGAATGATGTCATTATGGCCAGCAAAGTTCTCTGCTTCCCCAAAGCTGGGCAAACTGCTCTGGTACTTTCTCAGGCTCCCCGGGCAGCACTCTATAAAATACAGGCAGTGTACAACTGGTTTCACAAGGAATTTCTGTTTAGCCTACTCATTAAAGTGCTCCAAAGGGAGTCTGAGGTGTTTGTATTCCATGATTCTTGAGAACGAGTCACTGTTTATGCTGGCAGGTTTCCAAATAAGGAGAAAAAAAAAGGATACTTCTGGGTCAAATTCCTGCTCTTAAGCTTTTACACTCCTTACCTCTCGGACGAGTCCTGTGCTCTGACATCAATCCTCCCACAGAGCACCAACCAGAGCCCTTCTGGCC